TTTTACTAATTTCATTTCATTGTTTGCTCTAGATTTAACTTGCATAGTCACCATTTAGTGGAAATAATGATGCCCCATTTTTCCCATGCTGATGTTGAATGATTCACACCAGTATTAATATGAATAATATTGTTCTGTTGTAATATATCTGTATGTGAACAAATCAACAACAAGGGATTCAATATCCTGTAAACGTAAACTGAAGGGTGAAGTTGAGAAAAAGGCTTACACTATACAAGAAGGTTTACTTGCGCCTATGGCTGTTGCATTTTTGCCAAATTTCTCTGTCCCGGCTACTCTGTCTTTGACCAGTCCTCAATGTCACGCTCTGAGAAAAGGCAGACAGAAGGACGCACGCCTGTGCGCTACCAAGCAAACTGTGACCAGAAACACTTCAGAAGAGGGGGGAGCACAAGGGAGCCCATTGTTCGGCCTGCCGACGGGGGGGCGCTGTGATAATTTGATCTGCGCCCTGTTAATAAATCACCGCGTCAGTGCTCTGGCTTTAGTATCTGTTTATGCCTCTACAAATTGAAACCCCACTGGCTGAGCACGGCGGCGCGGCGTTTGGCATGGGAGCACTCTGGCCTCTCGAACGATTGGTTCAAGGTGGGGAAGGGTTTGCCCCGACCGTCCCGATCGGCTCCCTCCTCCTCTCATGTTTTGTCTCTCCCCGCTGAGGCAAAGCAGCGCTGACATATGTAAGCAATAAGCCCAAAAGGCTTGCGTCTACTATGGGCTGAGTGAAAGGAATGCAGAACCAAACTATAAAATGATAATGGGCACAGAGGCTGGGGGGCGGGAGAAGGCACATCTGCAGCAGAGGTGCGGGCAACGGGCGGCGGGTCGGGAACCCTGCTGCCCTGCCCCACGCTGACCCCCCGCCGATGCGGTGTTAAAGGCAAGGCGTACCGAGCCGCGAGAACCGGTTGGAGATTAAAAGAGCAGCGGATAAAGGGCAAAAGGGCTGTTTGAGCCGGCTGCTGAACCTCAGCTAAGCCTCTTAAAGCGCGAACGAGGAGCGGAGCTGGGCTTGAAACGGCCCACCCCTCCTTTTTAGGGCGTGACGATAAAAAAGAAACGGCAAGTAGGTGTCCGGAGAGTCAGACAAGATCGTGTTCAGTCATCTCGCGATTTGACCTACTTTCATAAGCAAATCCCGTTTCATCCCAATTGTCACAATTACCATAAATAAACCACAATGAATTCTGTAAGCCTGACAATGAAAATGCTCAATCCTTTTACATGCTTTAAACATTTCCCTTTAAAGCCAACCAACTTGTTATGAGCTTGTCATGACAGTGACACAATTCTTTCAGATTAGAAGCTAAGATGCTGAGCTAAGAGCTAAGGTTTCCGCAACAGTATCTGTAGAAGCGTGAAATATGAGGTTTGATCAAAAGGCCACCTCAGATCACTGCACACCTTTGTAAATAAATGGGGACAATCAAACGTATTCATGTGTTATGGATGAAACTTCAGCACTTCAACCACATAACTGCTCAAAGCAACAAGAACAATGAAACTGCTACACAAACACTGAATAAAAAGGAGACAGGAATGAGAAACTTTGAAATGTCCAACTGATCTCTTCAGAGGAAACAGACATATCCCACAATGCAACAGGACAGGAAATACCTGCTGAGAGGGTAGGGCTCTCCCCCGGATCCCATTAGGGGATCCGTGAAATTAATAGTGACATCATGTTGCTCAGTCAACAAACACGGGTTGATTGATGAGGACAAACGGCTCAGGTGATGGCCAATCAGCGGCTTTCCCTAGGAGCTGCCGGCCCCACTTCCAGTGCATGAAAGGGATACGTCTGTCCGCTCTGGCCAGATGCAGTGCCACTCCTGCTGCTTTGCTCTCCGCTGGTGTTTGTTTTAAGATTTTTTCATTGATAATTCTTACAAGTTAATAATGTTGTTTTAACCATCCATCAAAAAGGACACGTGGAGGAAGCCATTTGTAATACAGTGCTCTACATTTCATCCTGCCACAAATCCTGCCCCTGCCCCATCTCACACACACACACACACACACACACACACACACACACACACACACACACACACACACACACACACACACACACACACACTTAATACTGGTGAGCAGCTGGTGGGGATGCACTTTTTTTCTTGGGCCTGACATTATTTCACAAACATCTTTAAATGTTTCACGTTGTGAGCCTCAAAGGTGAGCGAGGCGAATTTTCAAAGTACCCCGATAGATCAGCTGATCCCTGCAGTAATACAATATTTTCCACTTCAAATCGGTGGTAATGGAGAAACATTGTAGGACTGCAGCACACTGCTTCACAAGGTCACCGCTTCATTTGAAATATCCCCTTTTTTTCCCCAACTATAAGATTGGATTTCATATAGTGAAGAAAAATAAAGGGGAAAAAAGCGAGTGAGCTGTTTTGTATCATTAAAAGCCTCGCAGGCCAAAGGCTGCCTTTGTTCCACCGGTGATTTGCTGAAAGTCAGACCAACACTAATGAAAATTAAAGACACAAATGCACAGGGACGTCTGTAGCCAAGCACATGCCTAACACAATTTGTCATATCGCTATTGTCCCGGTACATTCAAGTTTAGAGTCCTGCAGGAGCAGGGCTGACTGGTTTTTTTAGGACAATGTCACATATTGTTTCGCTTAGAGCTTGAGAGGCATTGCAGCGGGGTCCCTGTTGGTTTGCTGTGTTAGGTGGAATCTCAGAGCAGTTAAGACAAGTCATTTATCTTCAGAAATGGGAATAGCCACTATCAGCGGGGAAGGTAAGTCAGAAATTAGCACACACAATAATCGAGGGAAGGACAACCACTTAATCAGATAACTGTCTGTCTGTTCAGAATAAGCAGGGAATGATGCAGCTCTGTCCTCTAAATCTATAGGGAAGCACAGCAAATTGGAGGTAAGCTGGTAAATCAAGGATGCTACCTAACGAGAAGTAAAATCCCCCGTGATCCCATTTACTTTCCTCTTCAGTACTGGGGTCTGTGGAACAAAACAATGGAAATGAGGTTAAATCAGCTCTATCAGGGGCAGGGCTCAGCATCCCTAACATTTGCACATGCATACTGTAAACACTCCCGCTGGGCCAGCCAACTCCATCAGCCCAGTGTCATGTAGTATAGGAACACTAAAATCCCCAATGACCACTGGGAAGGACAGTTGATTTCCAAAACTAAATGCAGTGACAGTGATTCAGATCTTTCAATGTGTTGATTTTGGGACCAGCTAATCAACAGCATTTGAATTCAGTGCATTAAAGATGATTTGGTTGATCTGTGTAGTCCATATATCAATACATATCAATACATATATACTCCCTTAAGGATGGCAATAAGAATTCCTGAAAGAGGTCAGTACAGGCTATTGTAAGACTGTCAGTCCATTCTATTAATTAAAATTATGATCTCGAAATAGAGCTGCAGTTGTTCTTGAACCAAATGTAAGGTCTCTGCTCTAGTTCTGCAATGTCCTTTGAACCTTTTTTTTTCAGCCGCAGATGAGCCAATCATGGATACCTCGCTGCTGCTGTGTGCATACCATCGGTATGAGCTAGGAGGTGAGTCAGAATGGAGTGACCTGGGGGGAGGTGTGTGGCCGCATGCCCTGGCAGCGCCCCTGTGTGCTAACGGGGGACGGTCACTGATGCAGCACTGGCATCTCTACAACACAGGGGCTGCCAGGGCTCGCTGCCGGGCCGCAAGGTCGTGTGAGGTCACACACCTCGCCTCCTCTCCAGAAAATACAGCATGGAGGTCCTTGCCCGATGTGCGGTGCTTTGTAACACATATCTGTGAGGAAACATTAGTCACAGACGTGCTGTACATCCTGGTCATGTGGACAGTGGTCATATTCCGGTCACCTCAATGAAGTGAAGAAATTATTACATTGATTGCATTACATTATATGGAATTCCTCCATAAAATTAATAGATAATTAATTGGAGAGTACTGAGCAGGGGGGAGAAACTGCATTATCCCACACAGATAGTTTGTCAACCGTTCAGTGACCTTACAGGAGAGATGGAATGCAACCTTGCCCCATATGATCAAAACACGTGATGTACCAGGCCTCACCTGCCCTCTCTCTTCTGGTGGCACAATTCTCTGGTGCAACACATCAAGGAATGTAATTAGATTAGATGTAATTACATGCTCTGGCCCAATTGTGGGAATGTGGGTAAGGACACCCTCACTGGAGACTGTGGTACATGTGGTTATGTTGGCCTCTCTCTGGCATGGAAATTTTGCAGTGTCTCTCTGACAGGTGATGTTCCTTCCACATCTCCTTACTTTTGACAGGCTGAAGCCTGCTGCACATATATGAGGCCCACACATATGAAGACATGTGGAGATGCATTACCTCCTTGACCTCATATTTGCTCCATGCAAACTCCAACTCAGGGGTGACCTCCTGTCCATGTGTAAGGACTGATTGTTGATTGAATAAGTGGTTTTGCACACATTCAGAAGACATTCAAAAATTATGGTAGCAATCTCTATCATCTGAGACAAATTGCTTCAGTTTTGGTTGACGTAAATTACTTAAATGATTTTTGTGTCATTTGTATAGAATTTTGTTTACTGTTTGGCAAAAAATTTGCCTAGCATTTGCATTTTGTGGGTAAGCCATGAGAAATGACTGTTTTGCAAAAACAAAAAGTTACTGTTGTCCTCATTTTGGTTAAGGCAGTGGTCCAGTGGACCAGAACAATGGAGAAAAACTGTAACGAAACCAGCAGGGATAAGAGCTCTGGCTGTAGCTCAGTAGCTAGGAAGTGCAGTTTTGTACCTGCTGAAGGTGTGAATTTGGTGTAGCAACACCACGAAAGAGCTGCGGCAGATTTGACCCCTGTCTTGTAGTGTGTAAAACAGCCATTGACTGCAATGGAGGGGTATCAGAAGATTGTGCTCACTGTCCTCCATTGCCCCAACATGAGCACAGTGGTTTCCACCATAAAGGCAAGCTTTATGTGTACATAAGCGGCAGTGTACCATAGTGGTAAGGAGGTGGGCTTATAACTAAAAGGTTTCCAGTTTGATTCCCCACTGGGGCACTGCCGTTGTACCCTTAGGCAAGGTACTTAACCCACAAGTGCCTTAGTAAATATCCAGCTGTAAAAATGGATAACATGTAAAAACTGCAACCTATGTAAGTCGCTCTGGATAAGAACGTCTGCTAAATGACAATAATGTAATGTAATGTACACTTGTTGACGACAAAGGTATGGAGCGTGCCTAAAAGGGAGAAAAAATTGCTGTAATAGACATTACCTCTCTTCTTCATTGTTGGGGGATGATGTTCATTCTGAGAACGGGGCCAGGGTTTTCAGCCACACCCACTGAGCCGCTCAACTTTTCAACCCAGCCACCGCTGCACGGAGGACGCGTCCTGTCCGCCCGTCTGAAATGCGGGTCAAGCGCATGCGCGGATCTGCTTTCCGCACTTGGCGTCCACATGAAAGCGTGCTCCCCGCAGCTGCGCCGCACGCACGCACGCAGCAGGAAGCGGTGCCGGCGAGGACGAGCAGGGAGCGGACACGGGGAAGCTATTTTCTGTCGACAGAAATGAAAAACAATCCCTCGAAAGGTCTGCCACCTGAGAAGCGCCAGCACAATGGCGTCTGCCCCCGTGTGTACTGGCGCATCAGCAGTGAGCCCAATTCAGAAGGGCACTACGTTTCAGTCCCTTCTGCCGCACACATTCACAGGAAAGCAGAGACAAAGGTGAAAGAGATGCGCGTGTGTGTGTGTGTGTGTGTGTGTGTGTGTGTGTGCGCGTGTGTGTGTAGTAGGGTTATATAACACCTTTATAGAGTTACTTATATTTTGCATGCTATAATTGTAACCATTCAATGTTAAATTAAATGCTTTGCTCTGCTGCAGGAGCAGCAGTGCTCAACTTGGCATGGAAACCTGCAACCTGCTGGTTGCAATGCCACTTACCTTAGCACTAACACAGCCGCTATTATGCTTTTAAATGCTGATGTGCAAACAGACTTTGTAGTCAGAGAAGCAACGAAATGCTATGATGAACCTGGGAATATAAGGAATAATGGGGTCAGTCAGCCTCATGACCAGAGTAGATCACACGTTTGACTAAGACATTAAGGACGCTGGTGCTGGCAGTGGAGAGACACACACTTCGAAAACCCTGCAGTCCCTGAAGCAGAGATAAAAGGACTTATTAATAGCTTCTAGATTTACATGCACAAGTGGATGTTTATGTAGGAATTTGCTGCTAATGTGCAAACATCAACGACTTGTAAACAGTGCTATTCAGTCCAATTTCCTTTACATCAGTGATATTGTTCCAATGTTTCGGGTGAGTCAAAAACATTTTGGGGCATTATCTTTTAAGCGGTTCCACAGTGACGGCTCCCCTGGGCAGTAATGGAGGAGCTACAGTGCACTTCCCTCCCCTGCCACTTTACATTACAATGACTTTTTACATAAACGCTGAAGAAAGGCAGGCACTCTACATCCTGCCAGCCCAACACATTGCACACACTTCTCTCAACACCCTGCCAGCCCAACGCACCACACACACTGTTCTCAACAAACTGCCAGCCAAACACACCGCACACAGTGTGCTTTACATCCCCCCTGGCAAACACAGTACACACATACACTGCCTGCTTGTTTTCAGACTCACATAGGTCCACCAAGGACATCTATGTCACGATTTTGGTTGTGTTCCACTGATACTAGAACTGCAGTGTTTTTCAGCTGCAGAGGATTCTGGGAGAAGGGTGAGTGTCTCAGAGCCAGATAGATTGTGACTTCACATAATGGAATGTAGTGCCTGAAATTTTAGGAGCCCCCTTTGGACAGACGATGCCCGAGAGACATAGACTGGGAAGGCGGGGGAAGCAGGCTAGCAGGCAGGGGGGTGGGATGGGGGGTTGGGGGTGCACACACGTGAAGCCCCTGCTGTGTTTTATTGGACAGATATAAAATTAACAACAGTCGGGAGCCATAATGGTGAGCCAGGTTGGTTCCGACACAAATTTCCAATTTGAGGTCAGCTGTATGGTCCAATAAAAGTTAACAACCTCCCGCTTAAAGAAGAGCTGTCACTTTACAAGAGGCAAACTTTCCCAATTAATCATCAAATTAATATCCCTGGGTCTTTTAACACAGTTCTTGCCTGGTGATTTTTTTTCTTTTAAACAGAATAGCCAAAGCCAGCCTAATAGCTATTGACATAAATCAATAAAACCCAGCTGTGAAATTTTCCTTGCCGTGCTGCCTAATAAGGAGACTGTAAAAGTCCAACATGTACCAAAAGAAAAGTGACCTCGCTTCAACATTAAACTTTATACTACCCTACTGCACATGTTAAATATGTAACATGTCAAATGTGCAACTCGAGCTAAGTAGGTGAGAGGCAATATAGTTGCTTCAGCCCAGTTGGCCATGGCTGTCTGTGGCCTGACCAAGAGGCATTAGTGTGCTATTATACACTGGACATTATGCATGAGGTCTGGGGTGTTAACTGGCTGTTAGAAGCACAGCTGTCAGAGTCGGGGAAGATATGGAAGCCCCCGCCTGTGATCTGAACGGCGCATTCCGTCACAAGACTGCTCGCTCACAGACACCGATTAAAAGCTTGTTCTCTTTCAAAGTTTTCAAAAGTTCCTTGTGGAAATCTGGAGCCCAGGGAAAAACAGAATGCTTCATTTCACATGGGTTTGAGACTAGCCCCACAGCTGATTCAACACCGCACAAAGTAAGATAAAGGTAATCCATAACGGTCTTTGTGTCATCATCAGGAGAATTCAGGTGTTTCAGGAACACCACCACCCTCTATGTCTAGGGCTTAGTTGTGAAAGATGTGGAGCACATAGACTCTCCAAGGCCAGTCTCACAGCTCAAACCAGGTGCCACTTTGGCATTCCTTAAACAGACGACGAATCAAATGACAGCGGCTGAAGGGGGACGGAAGAGAAGCCGCCCCAGAGAATTGCGACAGATGCCTCTGCAGATTAGAGCGTCTTCAAAGAGCCGTGCAGCACATTCGGTCCTGCTGCGTAGGACAAAGGAAGGGAGCCTGAGAAAGAGCAAATACATCTGCCCATCTTTTCCACTCTAACCCACTATCTCTGCTGTCAGCTTGTGACTCCTTCCCAAATGATTTCTATGGGAAGTTAGAGCCCTCGCATCAGAGACCAGGTCTTAGTCGAGCCATTCCAGTCTGTCCCCGCTTCTTCAGCCCTGGCCCCAGGCATGGGGACAATGTCATTAGTGGCACTTCGTTGGCAGCCAGGGTCCTATGAATGAAGGGCAGCTTTAATCAGTGTCATGCGGAGTTCCCACGGGTTTCCAGGTGAAAGATGAGAAGGGACGGAGGTGTCACCTCCTCGTTAATTAAAACTCTACAATGCCCAGAAGGGGCAGAGCTATGGCATGCGGATACGCCCGGGGAACACCCGCAAACTGAGGAGGGAGGAGCACCAGCACCAAGAGAGAACAGAAGTGCCTATACACGATCGCACCCCCGATGAGCAGAGCTCTGCTTTTACCCCCAGCAACAAGAAAGGAAACAGCCCTGAAGCAGTGACTATGGCTGCTGATGCCATTATGGCTGCTGACCGTAATTCCAAAAAGCAAAGATATGATCCAAAAATGAGCAAAAGGCTGGCCGACCATGATTGTGAGTGAAAGAATGGAACCTGCTGAGGACATGTCAAAAAATAGCCATGTCTATCATTGTCACTCCTTTTCAGAATTTCGCTATTAACAGACTAACAGTTTATTCAGCATCATTCCCTGGATTCCATTATATCCACCAAGATGCAAGACTCCAGCACCATATTACACCATATTTTTCTCTTAAGATGGCCTGGTGGTTTTGATTGAATCCAGAGGTATTTGTAACGTTGCATACTGTAAATACACCAGACCGCTATAAGTAGAGAACAAAGCACACGAGAATGGCGGTCTGAAAAAGACGGAGGGGAAGGAGTGGTCTTCCAAATGAAAAATTGCCAAGGGAGCTGAGGCAGGCAAGCTCTCTGACCAGCGAGACAGATCTCATTTCAAACATGTGCTCTCTCCCTTGCGTCGTGCGAGTCCACAGCAGTGCACATTTCCATTTGCATGACCGGCTGGTGACACCCGGCACTCGCTCTCTCCACCAGCAGGGTCCACCCTGCCTAAATCCAGTGCAGGCCTCAGACAGCACCCCACAACACCCTCCAACGACATTATTTATATAAGGAATCCTATCATTCGCACATGTTTCCTGTCTTCATCTTCTTGAAGTGAAAAAAAAGAGTTCCCCTCTCAGAGATCAGCTGTCGTTCCGCTGGAGGAGAGCGACAGCTGAGCATGTCCAGTTGGAATAACAGCTCCCCGGCTCTTCCCGACCGCTCCAGTGATAGTGGTTGGTCGGGCAGAGAACCGGCATGCCCTCTTGATACAGGTTCCATGGTGGAGGCAGGGGGTAGGGGGTGGACAGCAGGGCTCTTCCAAAGACCCCCTCCATGCCTCTCATGGAAATGCATCAGAGGCCAGAAGAACAAAAGTGTTTGAAGAGTAAATCAGAGCAAACCAGGGAAGGGAGAACCACATGGCCTCTGTGCAATATAGGGAGCAGTGGGGGAGTGCTTGCCCTGATCCTTCCCTTTCGAAACACCACCAAGCCAATAGTGGCGGGCATCGATCTCGGCCACAGAGTTCTGCTTTTTGAGGCTATCCGAAAGGAGAGGACATACTGTACCCATGATGTTCTGCTCTCCTGTGGCTTCACCCGTCTGGGTGTTGACGGCTCACCCCCGCCTTGTAATTTGGCAATTTGCACGGCCGTCAAGCAGCCCGACCGCAGTGAATCGTGGGCACGGGACAGAAATGGACGAAGACATGGGAGAGGATCCAGAACAGGAAAGGAGGGTGCTGACACTGATGAAAAAACAGCAGGCTGCTTTGACATGGATGAGAGAAACTGTGGGTTTGAATCAAAGGTTTATTTTCAGTATGTTTAGTGTCAGTGTCAGACACTGAGGGCGGTATTCAGTCTAACTGCTACAGCGATTTGTCCAGAAAACATTTTAGTGGTTAC